CTTCCCACAGCTCTCCCATCCAGGCTTTCCCCTCGGAATTCTGCGTTCCCAGGAGCAGTGGGAATGGCACAGCACAGAGCTTTCAGCATTTCCAGAGTCCCTCTGTGCCAAACCCAGCCCGAGGAACAGCTTGGAGCATTTCAGAGCAATTTTAGAGCAGCATTTCTCAACCTGTTACAGCCACCTTGGGTTTTAATTGCTGCCAAATCCAATCTTGGCTGTGCTCCAAACTTTTTTTTGAGTATTAACGTATTTAAGAAGCAGCCATTGGCTTTGCTCACCTCCCTGCTGGGGTTTATTCACATTCTTCTATAACAAAATTGAGTTTTCAACCATTTGAAAGCTCATCTTGTGCTGCTCACAGGTTGAGAAATGCTCACATCCCACCCCGTTGGAGCCTGGAGGAGCAGGGATGTGCAGCAGAAAATCCTCACGGGTTTTACAGGAGGCAAAGCTGCAGTGGAAGCTGCTCCATAAATTGCAGCTGATTCAGGATCGGGCGTTTYTGTGGCAGGAGATGAGTGCAGGAGTGACCTTCCCTTTCTTCAGCAAGTGCCTGACCTGCCAAAAAAACAAAAAAAAACCCCTAAAAGTTCATAAAACACCAACTGAACCACATGGGGACAGAGTGTACAGTTCCTCTCGATAGTTCTATACCCTTTAGGAACATTTCTCTGAAGAAAATTAGTTGCTAAAAGAATGATGTGACAGAAATGTATTTCTGCTGTCACATTTTCTCATGAGAGATTTGGATTTTTTTTTTTAGTACTTAATAAATTAGAACAGAAAGGCCATAAACAAAAGCTATAAACAGCATAAATTTTAACTGATTAATACAAGATCGAAGCTTTTAATCTCCACACGTGCAACTAAATAACATTTTAGACCAGGAAGATTTTTATATTTGCAAGAACACACAATCTCACACCTGATCCCCAGCTTTTCCAGGAGGGGCCATGTGGATTGGCTGATCGTTGTCCAAATTTCGGATGCTGGGATCAGCCCCGTGCTCCAGGAGCAGCTGGATCATTTCCCTCTGGTTTTTGTCACCAGGCAAAGCAGCTGCCATGTGCAGGGCGGTGTTGCCATGGGCCTGAAATGGTTGGAAAAGAAGAAAAAGGAGGAAAAAAATCGGGATGAATCCCTTGATGAGCTGTGCTGTCTGCTCAGAGCCATCCCGGGAATGGAGATGTGAAATGAGAGGAGGATTCTGGTGGGATTTGTCACCAGCAGGTGAGGGAGGATTTCTGCTCTTTTTCTACCAGGCAGGAGGTCTGTAATTTTGGATTTTTTTTCTTTATTAGAGCGCTGTAAATGGGGCCTTAATGCTTTGGTTTGGGTGATAAACAGCCCTGAACCAGGAACATTCCTGGTGGCAGAAATCCCTCCCTAAATAATATCCTACATATATGATTGATCTGAAATCCCCCTAAATCGTTCCCTAAATGTACAATTGTTCTGAAATACCCCCAAATCATACCCTAAATGTATGATTGCTCTGAAATCCACCCTAAAACTGCTCCAAAATGCCCCCATAATCACATCCTAAATGTATGATTGATCTGAAATCCCCCCTAAATTGCACCCTATATATGATTGATCTGAAATCTGCCGTAAAACTGCTCTGAAATCCCCCTCTAAATCATACCCTAAATGTTTGATTGATCTGAAATCCGCCCCTAAAACTGCTCCAAAATGCCCCCTGAATCACACCCTCATGGAAACAGAGACCCGAGGAGCTGCTGGAAAAAACAGAAGGATGCAACAAGCACAGAAATACTCCAGTGGGAAACACTGACTTGGATTGGAGCCACAAAACCCTTCCTGCTGCTGCTCCACACCACCAGACCCATTTGTGCTCCTCCATTCCCTCTTCCCCCTTTCCCAGAAAGGAAAAAAAATTCCAAATTCCCAAATTCCCGAGGTGGAGCTCTTCCCTGAGCCTGGGGTGGCTCTGGTGACAGGAATGGCACAGGAATGGCATAGGAATGGCACAGGAATGGCACAGGAAGGGCACAGCTGGTGGCACACAGGTGGTGGCTGCTGTAATTCTGTAAAGAAAAGCTCTGGTGCCACCAGACCGTGGAGAAATCTGTGCCCTGTCTGGTCAGGTATGACTGTAACGGTTGGAAATGAGAAAAACCTGATAAACAGAGGCACAAAAAGAGGTATTTTTGGTCTGCAAGAGCCTCGTCGAGGCAGCTGCTCAGTTTTTTTTTTCTCTCAGAAAAAATCATGGTTTTGTCGTGATATTGGAATGGCTGAAATGGCAATAAATTTCAGTCTGTGTTAATATTGCAGTTGTTAAAAAATATTCACATGGTTTCCAGGTCCTATCAGCCACTGAGACAGAAGGGATAAGTGAAGCAGAAAATAAAATAGTGGAAAATAAAAGTAGAAAATAAAATAGTAGAAAATGAAACAGCAGAAAAATAAAATAGTAGAAAATAAAGTAGCAGAAAATAAAATAGTAGAAAATGAAACAGCAGAAAAATAAAATTGTAGAAAATAAAGTAGCAGAAAATAAAATAGAAAATAAAATAGCAGAAAATAAAATCAGAATTTTGATGGCTTTTCTCAGACAAAGCATGTTTTACAAGCCCTGAACAGGCAGATCTTTGTCAATTTTATTATCCCAGAAAGTCAAGGGATGGTTACAAGGCCTTTACAGGTTTTTTTTATTTTTTGTTAAAATGGGAAGATCTGCACTTGAGAACTTCCAAATCCAGGCGTGGCCTGAGAAATCAGAGCAACCTGACAATGCCTGGCCTTGAATCCTCAGATTGGCTTTAACAGGGTTTATTTGAGGCAATATCCAGAGCACGAACATTGGGCTCCAGGAATCCCCCAGGTCAAAAAAACCCCAAGACTTCCACGTTTTTCTCCTTGTGAGAACCCCATGGGAATATATTTGGRATGAGACCACCAAAACAGGCAGTGGGTGAGCCAGGGGAAACTTCAACATGACTTTTTCCTTGTTTTCTTCGTTCTTGGAAGAGCTAAAAAAATCCAGGCTGGGTTTTAGGGAACCTCTCCATCAGATTTCCCCCTGCCCCAGTATCATAAAACCAGGACACCCAAACAGGTCAGCAATGAGACTGAAGACTCCAAGCGATCCTATCAGAGCAGGATCAATCCCAGGATTGTGATGGAGAGACAGCAGAGCCTCCCCTGGACAGGCTCACACCTGCCTGGAGGATCTGTAAAGATACTGAAAGAATTCAGTGAAAAGGCACAAGAAAAACACAAACTCGGTGCCATTTCCCACATGCAAAACCCAAAATATGTTTGCAGAAATCTGGAGGGGTCAATCAAACGAAAATGCCCTTTTTCTGCCTCCCAGGAGAGCGATGGAGCTGACAGAGAGATCAGTTCCTTCCTGAGGGACACAAACATGGGATGCTCTGGGGAGAACAGGCTGAGAGGGTGCAGGTGCTGAAATGAGMACCCAGAAYCACCCCMAGMCTTTTCYSSATYYCAGAGGGGGAGGACGGAGACAGGGAGCACCCAGAATCACCYCCAGCCTTTTCTGGATTCCAGAAGGAGGGGACAGAGGGAAGGGAGCACCCAGAATCACCSCAAGCCCTGTCCCCATTCCAGAGGGGGAGGACAGAGGAGGGGAGCACCAGAATCACCTCAAGACTTTTCTCCATCTCAGAGGGAAGGATGGAAGGAGGGGAGGACCCAGAATCATCCCAAGACTTTTCCCCATTCCAGAGGGGGAGGACAGAACCAGAATCATCCCCAACCTTTTCCCCATTCCAGAGGGGGAGGACGGAGAGAGGAGAGCACCAGAATCACCCCCAGCCTTTTCTGGATTTCAGAGAGGGAGGATAGAGGGGGGCAGCACCAGAATCACCCCAAGCCTTGTCCCCATTCCAGAGGGGGAGGACAGAGGGAGGGGAGCACCCAGAACCACCCCAAACCTTTTCTCTGTCTCAGAGGGGGAGGACAGAGGGAGGGGACAACCAGAATCACCCCCAGCCCTGTCCCCATTCCAGAGGGGGAAGAGAGAGGGGGGAGCACCCAGAATCCTGTCCCCAACCCCAGCCCTGTCCCCATTCCAGAGGGAAGGATGGAGGGAGGGGAGCACCCAGAATCACCCCCAGCCTTTCCTGGATTGCAGAGAGGGAGAAGAGCAACAGAATCACCCCCAGCCCTGTCCCCATCTCAGACGGAGGGGACAGAGAGGGGGAGCACCCAGAATCACCCCAAGCCTTGTCCCCAATTCAGAGGGGGAGGACAGAACCAGAATCATTCCCAGCCTTTTCTGGATTCCAGAGGGAAGGGAGCACCAGAATCACCCCCAGCCCTGCTGAAAGGCAGCCGAAGCTGCGCTGATGGCACAGCGATGTCTCAGCCGAGGCCCCAGGAATGTCAGGATTTTTTGTTTGGGAGGAAGGGTGAAGCTGATGCCCGTTGAGATAGCAGCACTGCTCCCAGGTGAGGTGTGGGGCAGGCTGGGGAYGGCTCCAGTTTGCTTTAACCAACCCAGAAAACCTAAAAAAAAAACCATTTGAGATAGAGAGAATCCCCATCTCCCTCGACAGCAACAGGAGCTGTGTCTGTTTATTCTTCCCATGAATAAATTTATCCTGGGTGAATAAATTCTTCCCGTGAATAAATTGATCCTGGGTGTCCTAAAGTGCCACCTCTCAGTGTGGTCAAACCCTGCAGAGCTGTTCCATCCTCAGCCCAGCATTCTAAAGTTCATGGTTCTCCTCAAGGATTTCCCACATCTTTCCTTTTTTTTTTTGTGGTTATCTCCTCCTCACTCTGCCAGATCCTGCTGGGACAGGGCCTTGCTTTTCATGACAGAGCTGCTGTTTTCCTGCTGAATTCACTGGAAAATTTCCTGAATTCCAGGTGAATTTCCTGGTCTGTTCACTGGAAAATGCAGGTTGGGGTTGAAAAGAAAGTTCAGATTCACAGCTTCTCCTTTCCTCAGTCAAAACCACCTTGTTGTTGATAAAAATTACATTGTGGCTTACAAAACTTACCCTGTTGTTGACAAAAGTTATATTGTTGTTGACAAAACTTAACTTATATTGACAAAAATTACCTTGTTGTTGACAAAAATTGCCTTATGTTGA